GGAAGGATTAGTTGCAGAATGAAATGTATGCGTTCCATTTGCATTGCTATAGATGCTCCTTATTTTGTTGAAAATGAGTTGCTGATGTGGAAAGTGACACGTCACGCCCGGACATGAGAAGGAGTAGTTCGATTTTCTTCTGGCCCGTAGTAATTTGCAGAAAGGTGCTTACTGCCGCACAGGTTAGATGTCAGCTAAAGGTAAATAAACTGCTCATTACTGAGCTTCACCCTAACTACTATCGTGGAAACTGGCTCCCTCAAGGGTCAACGCTTTTTGGTGGCATCATTCGTTTCAGTACTTTCGACACAGGCCTCATCAGGAGCTGCGTTTCTGGCCGTCAGTAATCACAAATCAATGAATTTTATGCGAAGCCCGCATTTCCGTTTTCGATTTTGCCAACATTTTAGGATGACGAACCTCTTATTCCTTAACTCCGTCTTTTCCTTTCTCAGTAACAAAAATTCAGTAAATACGACATAAGACGAATTCAGCAACTTCTACTGCTTTAAGTATGTTTTTGTTGGAGGACTGAAGCACAGCGTCCACGTACTTTCTATTAAGTTTAGCTTTTCAAGGTAACCGATGTTGCTGCAGTTAAACGGTTTGCCGCGCGTATTTTTATCCCCTGGGAAGTGATAGCAAAAATTATATGATATATTCTTATAGCGACAGTGACATTCTTTTTCAGCTTCTTCAAAATCTGGCAAAAGCAGATTATGATACTGATGATTTGCGTGAGAACGATGTTGAAGTTGATGATGCAGCTGTCCTGAAAAGAGAAATCATTCGAAAGACTTGTGATTTCGATTTTCTTTGATTTTCAAAACAAAATAATTATTAAGACAGCTTCAAGCTAATTTTCCGCGATCCCGCACATGAGAACCACGCATGATTGGAGTCTGAATTTGCAGTATTTAAGTTGTATGTGGACGAGGAACCTCCCATTTAAATTTCAGCCTTTCAGCTTTTCCGGTTGCCCAATTAGCCAAAACTCTCATGCACTTTTATGTGAGTACCACGCACAGCTAGGGGCTGAACTTGAATTCTCTAGCTCACAAAAAAACAGAGAATATCCGTGAAAAGTTTCGGCCCTCTGTCCTGTCTGTTTCCCAAGATCGCTTCCCCGCCAAAAAATTCGCATGTTTTTTTGTGACGCTCGTACGTGAAATCCAGACGTGCGCGGATGATAATATTAAAACGGAGGGGTAGTACAAGTAGTGAGCACATACTCTTGAATTTTCAGCTTTCTAGCTTTCCTGGTTTTTGAATTGAAAGTAGGTGAAAAAAGTGCGAACACACGAACACAGACACAGAAATACAGACAGTCTCGTGCCAATGTGAGTTTTTGCATTTGCATAACACACAAAAACGCATAATTAACCTGCCATCAGACAGAACTGAGCGACAACTATAACTGCCACAGTAGTGATCAGTAAAATACCAAGAGAGCGTCTTATTTTTCGTGAGCGCATCCACAAATAAGTATTCATTTGTGATGCCATTCAACTGCTGCCTGCTATAGAAGTAGTTTATTACAAAAATACATGATGCTTGCATCCAGCACTGATTCATCCAATACTGATTCGGGAATCAACTGAAGCTCATTAAGTTTCAACGGAGAGGAGAGATGGAGAACGCACAGAAATGTTTTTAATAAGTCGAATCCATCTTGACAGTCATCAAATTTAGTGTATTCTAGCTACCAGTTAGTTTGTTTTCGTACATTTCTTCATCGACAAAAACTTGTATGCTTACAACTAACCGCTGATTGGGGAGAGCATTAACCGCTGATTGGGGAGAAATTTTTGAAAACATAAATCTATGACACATGCTGATGCACTGACTTTAAAACTTTTCTGAGGCTCTTCTCTGTTTCGATCGAATGTCATAACCAAACGTAAGCTAAAATATTACGGCTTGTTTGTCAAGAAACAAAATTTGGGAATTTTTAGCGTCTAACTAATAATATTGCGGGTCAGAAGCAATTTAATTTGACCAAATAATTTAGAAGTTCGATTTCTCAACCTGTCGTATTTAGATCTTTATTTGCAGATCCAAACTCCGACGAAACCTATACTTTCAAAACCATGCTATCTAAAAATTGGAGGTGCTGGAGTTCAAATTCTGAACTTCGGATGAGAGGAATGTATCGAAACCAATATTCAGATTTTGTTTGTTCCCGACCTGAGATCAGATGATCAAACACAAAATGTGGTTATAATTCTAGAAGCCCTGATTTTGTATTATTAGTGGTGCTAAAAATCAAAGCAACTGTTAAAAAAATCAACGCAAATTTTCCCTTGTACTACTACATTCGCGCAGGGGATGATCGCAGCATCTAATAGCAAAAAGCGCACACCTGCATCAACTGCGAGCGGTTTTTTCCTCAAACCGTTCTTTTTTTCCAGTCAAGTACGTTGAAGGAATCTATTCGAATGGTTGTATGCAATTGTTTAATTGAGAGCAGCCCAAAAATGGGAGAAGGAGCGCGATGGTGGAGCAACAGGTGGTTCAAGCATTAACCTGATTGTTTCCAGTCATTTATGTTAACTTCCAATAAATTTCAAGCCCTTTTTGTTAAATTAATGTTCAAACATTACTTAATGGACTTATTTTGAGGGATCAAAATACGAGAATGTAAGGTATTATGAAAAGACGGAACAGGTGGAAATTTGTCAGTCGGAAGAAGTGGAAATAACTCAGTGATTACCGTCAGAATTGGCAATGTTTATTCTAAGTTTAAACATCGATAGTGAGTAATTTCTAATAGGTAACGAGAAGATACTGCGCAGTGTTTTGTTTCGATAGTACTGCTGATAACCTACAACACAATCGGTTCGCACTCCTCGTTGCTACTGGATCTTATCGATAAATGTCATCAGCCTGATTGGAAATTTTGACATTATTCCTTCTGTTACGAAATCTCCCTTTACAAACTCACTAATGAAATGTGACAGAACACGAAACCTCTATGTCTGTTTTGTACAGAAAGCACTAAATTTACGGGCTTTACCGTGAAGCAGCACATGAATCTTTAGTATACTTCTGAAAAATTATAGCTCATCTTCGGGACCCCCCTCCCCCCCCCCCCCCCCCCCC